ATTTTTATTTTTATTTTGCAGGACTCAAATATTTTTATTCAAACTTAAACGACGAGGATTTGCAAGATTATGATTCGAACAGTGCTAATTTCAGAGTTTGTTGAGCAGTAAATAGTCGAACAAAGCAAGAAAACAGGAGAAGCCCAGCTGTGCGCACCGTTCCATTAACGGTGCACGTTAGCAAAACTCATAGAAGGGACCGGCGCACGTTAGCAAAACCTCAATTTTCTCTTTTCCCTTTTTGTTATCTTCCTGCCGCCTATCACCCCAATCCCTTCTCATCCTTTTTTATTTTACTATACCATGGACCCCACCCTATCACCTTTCATCTACCTTTTTCAATTTTCAAAATACTTTATCATTAAAAACAAAACCCCATATTTCATTCCAACTCAAACACCCACCCCCAATGCACGGCAGAGCCAAACTTAACCCAACTCTCTTCATCTCCCCCATCCCCGATCGCTCCCCTCCCAAAGCACGAAACCATCGCCTTCATTCTACTCACCACCGGCGGCATCTACGCCTTGCTAACGTGTTTCATCCCCTCCATCCACGATGGTGCGCATGAGGAACTAACAACACGATGATGCCGAAGCTAGCACCAAACACTCCGACCACATCTTTCGGCGTTCGCACTCACCGCCTCTCACCATCCCGGACCTAGCATTATTCGCACTCACCGTCTCTCTCCTGTTCGATGCATTCGGCGATTTAGCAAATACTTCGGAGGTAAATTTTGATCCTATTTCTATTCAATTATTACTCATCAAGTTTATGTTTTTACAGGGGATTTAGATGTTGGTTCTCCACCAAAGACACCACCTGATGATGTTTCTAGTTCATAGAATCAACCCAGACAAACCACGTTTCTACCCCTGCGCCTCCCACCATGACCGTGGACGACATTAAATCCGGGGAGTACTTTATTCTTTCTCTTGCACTTTAATTTTTCGTTTTGAGGCAAAACGCTTTAAGTGAGGGGGAGTAGAGTGTAGGATTGAATTTCTCTTTGCTTATCTTTTGAATCTAGTGTGTGTTGGTTGAATTGGTCAGAAATTTCATTGATTGTCTTTATCTTGTTGAAAATGTTTGGAATGCTATGCTTGTTTGGGAACACATAATTGTTTAGGTTATGATATTCTTGATAATGGATAAGCATGAATTGTGATAAGTTGGTGTTTTTGTGATATTCCATGACTTCGTTAGTTGAAATATGATTAGCTCAATGCATGAAACAATTTGGTGAGATTTGAGCCTTTACGAGCATATCATTTTCGCTCTCATTTTGTTTGATTGAGTATGTCGAATTTGGCATTGGTATTCTAGAACCTGCATGTTAAATACTGTCGAGATTACACATGAACATGATGCTTAAAGATGATTTGGGCACCTTAGGATTAACCATTCCGTTTCCCCACTAAATAGCCTACCCATGCATATTTTCCCTTAGTTAACCACTTTTGAGCCTATTCCCGCTTCTTTGTGTTCACCATATTCATAAACCCGAGCCTTTTTTATTTTATCCCTCTTTTCTACCTTTTTCAGGGCAAGTGAATAATTTTACCATTGTATTCTCCATCGAAAAAAAATTAGCAGTTCGAAAAGAAAGGAAAAAACTGTTCGAAAAAAAAACAGAAAAAGACGTAAAAAATGGAAAACGAAAACAACAACAAAGAGGAAAAAAATGCATTTCAAAAAGAAATTTGTTGTTTGATATGTTGTCTTTTTATCTTGTTGTGCTTAATGTTTTGATGGAGTTGAGATTATTATTTGTTAGTTCCTTGCCTTGAATATTTATCCCTATGTTTAGCCTTTTCCCCACCTTTACCTAAGCCCCGTTACAACCAATAAAAGACCCTTTGATTTATGCATCTTGTTCTTATTAGTAGTGGAGATTTGATTTACTTGCAGGCCTATGGTAATATCGTGTCAATTCTGACATTGAGCGTTTCTTTACCCCAAACACATTAAGTGATTTGAGTGAATCCCGGTAAGGTGTTGAGTTATGAACATTGAAATTAATGAATGAATGGATATTACAATTGTACTTAACTTGTTCCAATTGGTGATGTTCAATTGATTGATTTCTTGACTTGAATAGTTACTGTGGTCTCTACCTTGCTTCCTTGAATATGAAACTTGACAAAGAATGTTTAATGAAGTTTTTGACTGATTTGGTTAATCATACTTGAGGACAAGTATGAGATAAGTGAGGGGGAATTTGATGAGTGTTCAGAATCATTAATCTTTGTTCGTTATTTCTTCGATTTTGTGGAGTTATTGCTGCTGATTTGGTTGTGTTATGCCTATTTTCGTGTAGGTCCTTACTTTCCAGAATTAGTGATAAAATAGACGAATTCTGCATTTTTTTATTATTTGGTCGCGGCTGGAGACATGGGCACGACTCTGGGCATGACGCGGTCTGACGTGGCAGTTTCTAGAAGGTCCAGTCAGCGGCGGCTTCTAGAAGACTTCGTCCGCACGCCTTCTGGAAGATTGACGAGCAGAGTTGCAATAGGAGACTAGTTTAAGTTTGAATTTAAATTAAAAACAATTATCTTTTGTATTATTTTATTATTTTCTTTGTTTATCCTTTAGGCTTTGAGAGGCTATAAATACCCACTTGGGGTAAGCCTAAAATGATCATTCAGAATACATTCTTCTTTTCTCTCTAGTTTTTATTAAATCTTTTCTTTTTACTTTTCAAGTTTTGTTTTCATAAGCCGAGAGCTGTCGCGATGATTCAATTCCAACGGGAGAATTGAAATGGTCCCTTAATATCTTCGGAATATCTCTCTCAATCTCTGCGCTTATTTTTAACAAATCAAAACAGTTTTCAAAATCAAAGATTGACTTTGGTCAAGAGGTTGTTGCGATTAAAACGTGTGGGAGGAAGATTCGGCTTATAGAAAGCAATTCGACTTCCTGGGAACACACTTGGCGAGATAGCTTCACCAAGAGGGAATTGAGATCGGAATTGATGGTTATAGAAACAACAATCCGAGTCGGTCGCCACGAACTTAAACGGTATTTGATCTACGACAATAGATGTTGTTAGAATCAACTACCGAAGCCGGAATCAAAGATTGCCTTGGGTATTCGGTATACAAGATAGAGTCACAAGGATAGCCCTTGTAGACAAAGTAACCGACGTGAATCCCGAAGAGAAAATCTTATTCGATGATCTAAGGAAATTGAGTCAAAGCGAAGCTCGAGGCTATTTTTACAATATTTATTTATAGTCTTTATTATCTTATTTTTACTTCAATTGTTTTTATTTATTTAATCGCTTTTATTACCTTTCTACCAAAACCCCCCTTTTTATTACTTTTCACGCCTGGCATAAATAAATCAGACAGAAATTTATAATTTTCTAAGTCTCTGTGGATTCGACCCTACTTCTCTACGCTACGAATTTTCCTTTAATTATTATCCGAGAAGAAGGAATTTATTTTGACATCGAAACGACAGTTGTCATAATTTTAAAAAGTGAAAGAAAATGTGCACCAGTAGTAATTCATCAAATTAAATATACATGTGGTTTGGTATTTTAGCTTTTTTTAATAATAAAGTCGGTAGAGGTCAATTATTATGATTGTATATGATATATATACTAATGTTAAAAAAAAGTGACCTACCTAAAGATGCCTTAAATCAACAACATAATGAAAAGATTAAACAAGAAGAAGTTATAACATGAATGGTACACATGGATTGTACCCTAATTGTCAAATCCCTAATTATTGCCAAATTGTAAAGTTTGTTTCAATTGTGTGAAAGACTTCCACGCCAGTGTCTAATGGTATTCATCACGTTATGTTAAAGGGATTTTTTCCTAGAGTATTTAAGCAAATATGTTTGTAGAGTATGTCTTATCAATAATTAAAATTTTTAAATAAATATTACTTTATGATCATCACAAATTATTAAATTATTTTATTGTTAATTATTTTGAATTTTATAATTTAATTTATTAATGGTTGATATTATCAATAATATATTTTTTAGTTAGGACGATTACAAGACAATATATATTTTAAAAAAAAATTAGTCATTGATGTCAAGTGTTTAAACCCATAATCTCTTGAGAAAACAACACTCCTTTTAATTACCGAAATGATTTGATAAGCATTATCAATGATATCTTGTATTGCTTTGCTGGTGGAACTGTAATGAATAATTTGGGACAATGTTATTATTATTATTGTTATTGTTAATATTTGTGGTCTAATAGGTAATAACATATTATGCAATCTATGTGGTGACCAAGAAAATACTTCAGATATATGATAATAAATTATTATTATAAAACATGTGTGGTGATCGAGAATATCTTAAACACGTTATTATTATTATTATTATTATTAGATCTACATGATGTGAAACTATTCAGATACATGATGTTCGATATTCAGATTCAGGAAAAATATTTTTTTTCTAATTTAATTTATGTAGGGAAAGTAAAAACACGTGTATTTTGAATATACTTCATTAATCAATAATTGGAAGTACAATGGTTTATATACAGATTATCTAGGCTTCAAGTAATAACAAACTAACTACCAACTATATAAGAGTAACAAAACTAGTAAACTAACTCTCTACACTCTCCCTCAAGTTGAAGGCTGGAAAATAGTTTTCATCCCCATTTTGAACACCAATTTATCATGATGTTGCACGCCAAGCCCTTTAGTCAACACATCAACCAATTGTTCAGCAAACGCCACATATTCAGTTTGTATCAACCTTTCTCGAATTTTCACCCTAATGAAGTGGCAATCAATTTCAATGTGCTTAGTTCTCTAATGAAAAACCGGATTAGCTGCTATCTGCAATGCTGATTTATTGTCGATGTACAACGTAGCAGGCTGCAGCAAGTTCATCCTAAGCTCTTGCAACACACTTTGCAGTCACTATCTCTGCCGCCGTGACCACCATACTTCTATATTCGGCCTCAGCACACGATCTCGCAACAGTAGACTGTCTTTTTTTTACTTCTAAGAAACTAAAGAATCTCCAAGTCTCACACAGAAACCGGTAACTGACCTTTGGGAGACCAGGCAAGATGCCCAATCCGAATCACAATGGGCAATCAGCTGCATTTTACTCGTACTGCTTAATGAAATACCACGACCATGGTCTTTCTTAAAGTATCTAACAACTCTCATAGCAGCCTCGAGATGTGAACGTTTAGGTTGTTGCATGAATTGACTAAGATACTGAACGGAAAATGTGATATTTGGACGAGTGTGAGTTAAATATAAATAATCTACCAATTAACCTCTGGTAAATAGTTTTGTCAATAACCATATCATCTTCAAGTTGTTGCTTTGTTCTTTCATCATACTCAACAGTGGCAAGATGCAAATTCTACTCCAAAGGTGTTGAAGCCAATTTTGCTCCCTGCATCTTTTATAAGTTCCAAAGTGCTTTGATTTAGCAATATTTCCTCCTCGGTCCGTAGAACTTCAAGACCCAATAAATATCTTAGTTATCCTATGTCTTTCATTCTAAAGTTCTGATTCAAGATTCTTTTCAACTCATTTACCAAATCAAGACAATTCCCAGTTATCAACAAATCATCAACGTAAATCAGCATAATCACCAGCTTGTCACCATGTCGTTTTGAAAAGAGCGAATAATCATTTTTACTCTGTTGATAACCAACAGCAACTAAAGCTTCAGCGAGTTTCATATTCCACTATCGGGACGCTTGTTTCAAACCATAAAGAGACTTTTGTAGTCGACACACCATGTTCTTCCCAGGACTGCAAAAACCGTCTGGCATCTTCATGTAGACTTCTTCAGGAAGGTCACCTTGAAGAAATGCGTTATGTACGTCCGTTTGAAAAATCAAACAATGAAAAATTGCAACAAGAGCGAGAACAAGCCTTAAAGTAACAAGTTTGGCCACTGAAGAAAAAATGTCCACAAAATCAACACCTTCTCGCTGATTATACTCCCTTAGCAAACAATCGTGCTTTGAAGCGCTCAACAGTACCATCACCCTTGAGCTTAACTTTGTACACTCATTTGTAACCAATGGGGACCTTTCCCGGAGGTAATGGAATGACATCCCAAGTTGCATTAGCTTCCAAAGCTGTAATTTCCTCATGTATGCCTTTAACCCAAACAGGATTATTAATGGCCTCAGAATAAGTAGATGGTTCATCAATATGAGAAACAGAAGCAAGAAAAGACTGTGTATGTGAAGCAATATGTTCATATGAAATGGTTTGAGAAATGGGATACAGACCTTGAGCAGCCGAGGATTGATAGAAGCAGAAAAAATCATGTAACCAAGAAGGTGGTTTTGAAACACGAGCAGATTGTCTTACAGAAGCAACAGGAAAAGACTGACTAGCATGACCAAGTTTACTTGTTGAAATCGAAACAGAACTTTAAGGTAATGATGGAACATAAGACTGACGGGATGATGGACTAAGGGATGATGAAGGTTGATCAGAGAGGGAAGAAGACAGGTCAGATGATGATAGAATTAAAAAATCTGAATCAGGAATAACAGGTTGTAAAGGAAAGAAAGAAAAACAATCATCGCGAGCAAAATGAAAAGGAAAAATTGTTTCACGAAACACATCTCAATTAACCAAAAAAAAAAAGTTTTGGTGTCAAGATCAAATAAAACATACCATTTTTGAGTAAGTGAGTAACCAAAGAACACTGAAGGTACAGCTTTTGGTGAAAATGTATCACGATAACTGAGTTTAGTTACATAGGCAAGGCAACCAAAAGTTCGAAGATGAGACATAACTGATTTTTTGTTATAGAGCAACTCAAAAGGAGTTTTTTCACTCAATAACCGAAGAGGGAAAACAATTAATTAAGTAGCAAGTTGTAACAACACCCTCACCCCAGAATTTCACAGGAACCTTAGAATGAAAACGCAGGGCACAAGCCACTTCAAGTAAATGTTTATGCTTTCGTTCAGCCACACTATTTTGTTGCGGTGTGTGAACACAACTACTCTGATGAATTATACCAAGGGACTGAAAAAAGACGAACATTCATTCCGAAAAAAATCTGAACAATTGTCACTTCGAATGATTTGAATAGTAGTGGAGAAGTGAGTTTGAACAAAGGGAAAAAAAGATTTAAGATGGATAATAGCATCATATTTTAATCTCAAGAAGGAACAAAAATCAAATGTAACATGATCCGTCGCGCCAGTATCCAGAATCCAAGAAGAAGGAACAACATGAGAACTAGTGGAAAAAACTCTACATGTTAGGTTCACAGCCGACTCAACAGGTGATGAAGCAATTGGCTTGTGCAAGAACTCAATCAATTGAGCATATTGAGCCTACGTAAACACCAGGGCAGAGGAAGCAGATCCCGACGCAATAGGAACAGACGATGCATCCGAAGCAGAGTTCTCAGTATCAACAAACATGGTAGCTTGAGAATCCTTCTGTTTAGTGAACCGAAATCCATAGGAAAACCAATCAAGCGATAACAACATTCCCGCTTATGCCGAAGAACCTTGCAATTTGAGCAAATGACATTAAACCTTCTTCGATCAGAACCACCAGACACCACTAAAGAATTGGAATATAAAACAGTGGATTTAGAAGGCAAAGGAGCAGAGTAAGAACGTTGAGATTCCTCTTGAACCACCATCGAGTAGGCTTGATTTACCGTAGGCAGTGGATGCATTAGGAGACCTTAACTTTGAACAGCAGCATAAGTATCGTTGAGACCCATCAAAAACTGAAATAGACACTGATGAAGATTTTTATTTATTTATTCTAGTGTTGATTATAGGTAATATATATTCAAAAGAAATTTAATTATTGATAACATATATCTTATAGATATAATTATTCGAATTTGAAATCTATAAGAAAAATAATATACTCCATTTAACCATCGAAATCACTTGATGAGTTCTGCATAATTTATTTGACTGATTAACTGAATTATTTCGAAGTAAAACACTAAAACCCCGCCATTAGAAAGATAATCTAACACTTGATTTCTTTCGTGAGCGTATTTCCAACTACAGAGATCTATAAAGGTGTTCTTCGATACCATAAACGGTGCATAAGGCAACGTGATCGAGGCACGCCTTCGTGGTACCAAGGTCATTCAAGCCGACGTCGATCTTTTACGTTGTAACTTTATCGTTAACGCTGACGTTTGCGTAATCTCTCTTCTCTTCTTCGCGGCTTTTAGGGTTTAATCGTATTTACATAATGAGATCTCTTATGTTTATTATTGTTAAAAAAATCAAATGATTAATAAGTTTTTGATTTGCTTTTAAAAAAATCAAATGAATCCTTATTTCTTTTTAAAAGTTTGAATTAAATTTGATCGTAAATTCTGTACCATAATTTTTTAAAATGAATAAAGCTTGAGTTTTTATTCTTAGCCCTATTTGAGGAGTTAAAAAAATCATTATTAAGTTTTAAATAATGTGAACATAAATACACCATCATATCAAATTTTACATAAAATCAATATTATGTTTTAAATAAATTTATAATATTTTTTGGTAACATAAATTAATTTTTAATATCAAACAAATAAACATGAAAAATTGATATTGTTTGGGACACAATTTTTTAATAATTTTGTATGATTATAAATGCAATTCTTTAAACTTAAATCCTCTGAAAAAGAATAACATTTATTTTTGTCAATAAAACTAGTCCATAAATTTATGAGAAATATAATAAGGACAGAAAAAACGTATTCAAAAGTAATTATATCCAATATTATTAAATGCTGAACTACCAAAATTGCCCAGCTTAAAAAAAATATAAATAGAAGATACCAAATGTGCCATATTGAAAGGGTGTGAGAATGGAGGAACGTGCCATCCTATAGAGAACCCTGAAATGGTTTGAAAATCTATCAAAAGGAAACCTAAGCCACCAGCTAGAGGAACTGACCCTCAAAGGACTCCAGATTGTCGACGCCCACAAGGGTTCTGTACGCTGCAGTTTCGTCGTTCCCGGCCATGCATCAGTAAACACAAATCTCAGTCTCCCTTCACTTCTGTATGTATATATATTTGCTCACTTGAGTAAGATAAACGGTTTAACTTATATTTGTAGGATCGAGATTGGAATTGGCATGTCGGAGCCATGGCGACGTTGATCGACGACGTCGCAGCTGCTGTTATTTATTCCATCGTCCACCATGTCAAAGTCTCCGTGGATTTCAGTATTTCGTTTCATTCGACGGCCAGGATTCAAGTCAGTGTTCTTGTATGATGAAATCTTAAGGTGTTTTGTTTTTTTGTTTGAAGATTGAGTGATTTTGAGTGGCGCGGGAAGAAGGGGAGATAGAGGTGAAGGTGGTGACGGAGAAGGGGAAGCTAGCGCAGCCAGTGGTGGAGATTAGAAGAAAAGGAAACGGTGAGCTTATTGCTTTGGGTAAACAATGGATGGCCACGCATAAAGCTAGTGTTAAGGCATCCGGAGCGAGTAAGCTTTGAAACTTTTTATGGCATTCAAATGGGAAAAATAGATTATTATTTTTTTATTTACAGAGATTCCGTTAGCTTTTGCAATTAAAAAGCTGCAACTAAAACGAGACAAAACTCTTGTAACTTCATTGATAATTAAATAATTGGAATCATATTATTGTCTGCTTCAAGTGTCCTTTAGTGTTCAACAATACGATTGTGTTCTTGATGGCTATGGTTTTGGGTTGAAAATTATAGATTTTAATCCAATGGCTTAAGTATACAAAAGGTGTCCAATCTATGCTCGTTTTTTCAATTTATTGTTTAATGTTTATTTCGTTTCAATTTAGTGTCTAACGTTTTATTTCATTACTCAAAATAGGTTAAGTCATGACGGACCGTTAACCCATTAAAAATGTCACCTGATATATTTTTTAATATTAAAAAATAATATCTAAAAATAAGAAATTATTTCATTCCAGTTTGATGCCTAACATTTCTTTCCCTCTCTTCCCCTTCTCCACCTTTTTTTGAAATGAATTCAAGAACCCTAAATGTACCCACTATTCTTCCACTTCTTTCTTTGTTCTACTCCTTTGATCTTAACTCAACACAATGACGACCCAACACTCAAAACCTTGCACGATTTCTCTTAAATTTCTTCTTCTTTGTCGTCTGGATTTTTTCCAACAAAGCAACTCTCGACCGAAGACTTGAATTTTTCTTTGCTTTCATCGTCCAGAAAAGAAGTTAATCTCAAGTTTAAGTCTATATCGAACCCTCTCTTCTCAAAAGGGTTTGGGGCAAATTCGCTCTGCGTGGGATTGTTGAGATTAAATGAAAAATCTTTGTGAGACTAGCTTGAGCTCTAGAACATGATCTTCCATAGTTTGCGTCAGTAGAGCAAGAGTATCTTAGCTTATATTTGCGGCATAAAGAAGTCATTCTCAGACAAGGTTTCACCATATTTTCTGAGAAAACTCAAGATAGAAAAAGAAAATGAATAATGAGTTAATGAGAGAGAGACAGTCAGGGAGCAGAAGAAATCATTTTTAATGGGTTAACGGTCAAACTTAACGGTCCTTCACGGTTTGACTTATTTTAAGTAACAATTAGGTACTAAACTGAAACGAAATAAACGTTAGACACAAAATTAAAAAATTGACATAAATTGGCACCTTTTGTATACTTAAGACTAATCTAATTTAGCGCTTGTGTGCTCTTATTTTAAAAAAGAGGTAAATGACTCTTATGGTCCTACTAGTTTCCAGAACTGTCCAATTTTACCTAATAATTAGATAAAATAACCTCAGTGACCAAAAATGCCTTATAATATACGATTTTAACCAACATTTTTTGGATTTGCCAAAATGACCAACTAAATCGCAATGCGATCGATAATTCGCAATGCGATCTCCGGTATCACAAATCAGTTTCCAGATTCGCAATGCGATTCTGACTATCGCATTGCGATTTCCCAAATTCGCATTGCGATTTCCCAAATTCGCATTGCGATTTTCCTAATTCGCAATGCGAATACGTAAATCGCAATGCGAATCTGACTATCGCAATGC